AATAAGTCGATAAAAACAATATATATTTAGACTAGATTAAGTCACCCCCGTTTATGTAAATTGGACTCGGATTGAATATAACGGAGATGATGATTAAACTGGTAATAGCAAAAACGTATAGCCTTCTCGTTTCATTCAACTTGACGACTAGCGACATAAGTCCTCCTTTTTCGAAACAATTGTATCCAATTTTGAGCACAAATCGGGAAGATATCATTATCCGGGATCAATTGATATCTCTTTTCTGAAAATCACATTCGACAACCGGTTGCAATAGCTGAAGTATCTAATAGCAAGACACCGTTCCAATTCATGAATGGTATTGTGAATAGTTTATCCCAATGCCTTCTTTCTAATGATACACGTATCTGATAACGATTTCGATGATGATGAAATCAGCCAAGAACTAGAAAACCAAATCCTTACAATTTTCACGGATCGATATGTCGAAGAAAAACGCAAAATTTTAGTATTGTACAAGGATACCCAAAAAAAAGACGGGTCAAAGGGCGCATGATACATTGAATAAGCGAAAGTATTTGTTCGAACAAATTCTTAAATCAAGATTTAGTAATGATGAAATTGGCTTCAAGAGACTCTCGACTTCTAAAGGTCAACAGCAACTAGATGAATTAAAGGCCGATATAGATAATGTTATTTTGAAAGTGAAAGAGTTGTATTTGTATCCACCTCTTACGCTCAATATTTCAACCAGTTCCCATGCAATCACTGATGTTACCCAAGTTGTTGTTTGGTCCGGCGTGATGACTCACAGAACTTTTGTCCAGTGCATGCAGGATGCCGGCTGAACACGAAATTGAAAGCCTTATAAGAACTATTTGATAACTATAAATTCATAACTGAAGAGGAATTATCTCAGAGTATTGAAAGTTTAAAATCAGATAAATCAGATAAATCGGCCATAGGTAACGCTTCACCCTCACCCATACTATTCTTATTTGCAGAGGAGATTAATGAAAACGATATATGTAAAATGCACGCATTTGCTCGCGACGTCGATAACTTCTTTAAAGAGCATTTACGCGACCTCTCAAGGTTAGATCAATCTGAAGAGTTCACTTAGCAACGTATTAGAAGCAGATTGAAGATAATGATACCTCAATCCATGATTTTTGGCGGGCATCGGTTATTCTCGCAAAGGTCACAAGTTTACAACTACGCAAAAAAATTCATTTCTGGAATGCCTCTGAGTAGGGAGGGCATCATTCTTAAAAAATCAACACATGATACATTCCCTTTCTAAGTCAACGCTTTCTAAGTCAACGCGGGCTTGATGTCATTTGACATGACATTCCACCATATATGTTGTAAAAATATCAAAGATGGATATAGTAGATCAATGAACTATGCAAAATCAGACAATTAAGTAGGCTACATGAGTGTAGATAACCATTGTCCTGATTATAGGCAACAAGTCATCTCATTATGAACACTACAATTGTTAGTTATGTGATAACTATCACATGAACACATCTCCATCAGTGCCTATTATTGGGTTTTTCAGTGATTTTGCACCTATATGGTTGTCTTAATTATTAATAGTCGATACAACAAAATATTAGTCTTATATGGAGCATATACATACACATATATGGTATGCAATATCAATTATATTTTTGAGAGCAGAAAAAAGTGTGACTTTAAATTCGTCAGGCTTTGATAATTCGCAACTGGCTTTCATAATTTGATAGTACATGTATTTAATATGAATTTTGTCAATTACGAATTAAGATTTTTATGCAATAGAAAATAAAAAATTTTGATTTCTAACTTACCGCGTCGAATTTTTGCCGAATTTGAGCGATGCTGTTACTGTTAATGTTATAATCGTTGGTGTCATTCACGTTGATTTATGATGTAATTTTTGATTGGAAAATTATGTCTAGATATCTGTGCATTAACCAATGTTAATGGCTCTTTCCAATGCAGGGTAACATTGTTGAAACCTTTCAAGGCAATCTATATTATATTTAATGTTTAAGAATTACATGTATATATAGTCATTATCCTTTATATAATACAGTTGCATTTCGTTATAGTGACACTCTTTCTCAGTCCTAGCTATTAGGGATTTGACCCCATATAGTCACACCTTAAATTTGCCAGATTTCTGTTTCCCGACCCTGTGATTAAAATTCCAAATTTTGGTAAAATCCCAAATTCTATTCATGTGATATTTGACCAATTCAATTGCATAATTAATGAATTATCAAAATAAAAAGTATAAAATCTAGATTTGTATTATTGTATTATCTTGCATTGTTGTATCATTTCTTATATTATTTGCGTTTCTTTTTATTCTCTGCTTTTGCTTTGAAAAACAAATTAGTATCCTCTTATTTTTTTACTGGTAAAATTTTGGTTGGGACTAGTTTTATTATATATTTAGTTATATATAATATATTAATATTTGTATGCTGGATTTTTAATTTTATCTTATTGACATACAATTTTCAAGATTATTTGTATCCATAAAATTTGCTTCTTTCTAATTTCACATTTCTTTTTATTATTATTATATCACATATATATCTGTCTACTTAATTTTATTTGAACTAAATATTCTAGCTAAAAGTAATATACTAAAGAATTCAGAGAAAAAAAATCTTTTTCGGACTTCTTGAAATTTTATTTATTTTTTTATTTAAAAATACATTTCCAGTTAGAATTTTATCAGTGTGTTAAATTAATTTTAATAAAAATAAAAATTGCTAATATAAATAAAGTTAATAATAAAGATACAGATAATAATAGAATTTTAAGTGATTTTTTCTTAATTATTAAAATAATATCTGTACAAACTGAAATAATATACTTATCAAATATTAAAAAATGATCTAAAAAATATATTTAATAATAAAATTGATAATGGAAAAGAGAAATATAAAAAAGTAATTATATATTTTGTTTGAATCATGAACTTGAAAAAGAATATATAATATAAAAAATTATATTAGCTCTTATCAACAAAATATTACTAGAAATAAGTTAAATTAAAATAATTAAAATATCTAATCAAACAATAATAACAATAATCCAGCAAGAAATAACTTTCTTTCTCTTAGATCAACACCAACAAATATTAATAATGCCAACCAAATTAATTTCCTATCTCAAATTTAATTTTTGTTAACAGTACTATAAGTATTAACTCCTATTAACTTTACCAATTCAATATTACTTGCTATTTATAATTACTTAGCTGATAACTAAACTAGATGAATCTGAAATCACTATTGATAAAGATACAATTATGACTGAATCAAGTAATTCAACTATTTTAAATATATTGTCTTCAAAGATTCAAGTTAAACAACTATTAGTTTCAACTACCAAAATAATTATATCCAACAAAGATACCAAAAGAAAGAAAAGCAAAGCTGCTCAATCTGTTTTGGCTGCTTGATTTATTCTATATGACATATTGAATGATTTTATAACTAGTAAAACTAACATAATCTTTGAATAATTAATTTGAACTTCACCAGAATAATGACTCAAAATGTCAAAGTCTATGAAAAAATCTATCCAATTCAAGAGAAAAACCACCAAAAAAGCTACTGGAATAGTTGAACAAAAAATTAGAACTACTTCAGCCTGGTGTAAAGTCAAAATTAGAACTATTCCCATTGATCTTATCATTGATACTAGAGTATTTAACTGTATTACTAGTCATAATTTTCTCAAAAAACATGAATTCAAAATTCAATACAAGTTTAATATTACAATATTTGATATTAATAATGAATCTAAATAATCTCTTGGAGCAATCAATAACTTTTCAATCACAATTATCAGAATCGTAATTTCTACTAATATCGATGTTACTGAAGTCTATACTTATAATATAGTAGTTAAAATAAATTGAATAAACAAATTTAAAGCCAAACTTAACCTATACAATAAAACTATAACATTAAATTGGAATAATCAAAAAAAAACTATCAAGATTAAATTTATCTATAAACAAGATTATGATAGTTCAGATGAATTTGAAGACTCTAATAATAAATTAAGCTCTAATGAAGATGAATTCAAAAAATAAAACTTGAAGAATTATAATTTTCTAATATTTAACTACAAAAATAACTGGACAATAATACAATCACACTGATAATAAGTTTAATTTGAAGATATAAAATTAAAATCTGAAGAAGAATAAATACTAATCAGCACTCAAAAAGATATTAGTAATATTAGTAGTGAAAACATATCAACAAGAATTATTAGAAGTACAAAGTTAATTGATAATATATAAGTATATAAAGAAGAAATTAAAGTTCAAATGAGAAAGTTTACCTGAAAAGATATTTAATGACTTGATGAAAAATTTCAACAAAAATATAGATGAAACAGTTAATGATCTTTTGACTGGAGATGATTCAACACAAAATACTGGTACCATAACTAATTATACTGTTATAATTATATTATAAAATTTGTTAATTTCATAATTTGTAATATTTCATGAAATTATGAAAATTATATAAAGAACTTTAGAATATTTCATAATTTTCTTATTAATTATATTTATATACTTTTATTTTTTTACCTTGTACTCTTATACTTTTTATACTTTTTCTATTTCATATTCTTATACTTTTTATACTTTTTCTATTTTATACTCTTATAATTTTTATATTTTTATACTTTTTCTATTTTATATTTTTATATTTTCTATACTTTTATACTTTTTATACTTTTTATACTTTTATACTTATTTATTTCAAGTAGATATAATTTAACCAATTAAAATTCTTTGAGATTTATATTTTTTCTCTTTTATTTCTCTACTTTTCATATAAGTAAATTAAAATTCTATTTTTAGTTAGTATAATTATCTTTTATATCTTTTTCTTGTTTTAATATTATATTTGTATTTCAAAAAAAATTTATAAATATGAGTTGTAATTGAGCTCTAACTTAACATATCAGAACTTGAGAATAAATAATATAATAAAATAAAATAAATATCTTTAACATTTAAAACAATTTGCATTTCCCTCTTAAAAGTACACTTTAAATCTTGTGAACAAGTAGCTTTAAGATTATATTGAGCTAATCAAAATGTTAATAAATTGATATTGTTATAAACTAATTTTTTAATATTTTTGTTATAATTAAATTATTTGGAATTCCTTAACTAAAGATATTGTAATCTCTTTCTTGTAAGAAGAATAAAGTAAAAGAGTCTTCATTACTTTTGATATTTTTGATATTTTAATTAGTTAGTTAAATTATTAGTCACTTCAATTAAATAATTTGTAAATTAATTAGTTAATATAATTATTCAGAACACTATATCTAATTGAAATACTATTATCTTATCCTTTTCCCCTCTCAAATTATAATAATTTCAGTAGAAATTGACATAGGACTTAGATATTATTTTCATATTCTTCTTATATTTATTTAATTATCTCTTCCAACTCTTGTTTACATTTATTAGCTAATTATCTAATTACTGAAAAATGTGTAATATTTTGGTACTCCCTTTGTAAAATTATTATTTCAAAGATTCTTTTTTATACTTAAATTCTCTTTATGAATGATTATTACAACTTTATTAGAGAATCTATTAGTTCACATCTTGATACTCATCTTGAAGCTCAACACCAAGATACAATATTTCAAATAACTCAACAATATTACTCTTCTGATATAACAATTAAACCTCTAGCTAACTTTTTCATTTGGATCCAAGAATGGAATGCAATATCTGAATCCTTTATTACTATACAACTATTTGAAGATATTTATGAAGCAAATCTTACTATTGGAACTAAAGAATTGCGAAGATGAGTAATTCAACTATTAAATACTCTAATTTATCAAAATAAATATATAGTTGATCACTAATTATTATTAGTTAAAAGAACACTTGAAGACTTTTACAATCTAAAATTTGAAAAAGATTCTGATATGTCTAATAGTTATTACTCTGAAACTATCAGCAATATTAAAATAATAAAAGATCAACAAATAATTATCAAAAAAATAGAAAAAAACAATAAAAGAACAATAAAATATCAACTTTTAAAAACAACTAATTATACAAACTGA